AAAGATTGTTTACATATCATTTCAACAGTGTAAGTTTTGTCTGAAGTGTCCGAATACAAATATCTTGGACTATGCATATCAACTGACCTAAGGCAAAATTAACATGTTCATTATGTTGCAGCTCATGCTTACAGCAAATTATTCTTTTCAAGGAGAGTGTTAACTTTGTCTACCCCTACTGTAAGAAAATTAACATTCAATTCCATTGCCCTATCTGTTTTAGACTATGCTGCTGTTATATGGGACCCCTACACAAAAGGTAATATTCCGAATCATTAAATGTCCAAAAAAGAGCCATACAGTTTATCCATAATGATTTTAGATGCAGCTCAGTGCGTGACCTGGAAGCTCGAGCTATCCTGAAGCCTTTAGCCAAAAGAAACCGCTCATCACTTTTGAAATTCTTATACCAGGCGATCAAGGGGCACTCTAACGTCAACGCTATCGAATAGACTTCGTTCTCTTCCGGATATTCAACGCGCCAAAGACCCAAACTAACAACCACTCCTTTCCGTACCCATAACGAAGGCTTCAAGTATTCGTTTTTTTTAAGAACAGTCACAGATTGAAGTAACCTTAGCAGCAACATCGTTTAAGCAAGTTCTTTCTCAGCATTGCCATCGTTTCTTGATTGATTGATTGATTGGTTGATTGATTGATATGTGGGGTTTAACGTTCCAAAACCACCATATGATTATAAGAGACACTGTAGTGGAGGGCTTTGAAAATTTTGACCACCTGGGGTTCTTTAACGTGCACCCAAATCTGAGCACACGGGCCTACAACATTTCCGCCTCCATCGGAAATGCAGCCGCCGCAGCCGGGATTCGATCCTGTGACCTGCGGGTCAGCAGCGGAGTACCTTAGCCACTAGACCACAGCGGCGGGGCTCTCATCGTTTTTGGTGGCAGAAACATGGTCAGTTATTATATATATATATATATATATATATATATATATATATATATATATATATATATATATATATATATATATATATATATATATATATATATATATATATAGTTATTCACTGTTTGCATCTCCGTTGCTTGTTGCTTTGTTTCATTTGCACCTATGGTAGGTGCTTTGCTGGGTCATTGAACGTGAATTTGTTATTTTTAATGAATGTATCTTTTTGTCTTTATTTATTATTATTATTTTCATAATTACTTCTGTAACTATATTACGCTATTACTGTGAATAAATGTCAATATTTCTGTTCATGCATAGTATCCCATCCTGCTAAAACTCCTGAACAAGTGGCAGAATCAATTTTTAAATAACTAAAAAAATAAACTAATAATTAATTGCGAGCGTCTTGTTTTGGCAGACTTCGTGCCTTCAAGAAGTATACGAAAGATTATTGGTCAGCTGCCACCTCGTAGTAGGTTCAGGTGCTACGTTACGCCAAACAGGCAGATGAAGATGTGTGCCACACTCACCGTCATGGCTACAGGTGGCACTTACTGACACGCCACGTTTAATGCACATATTAACACAATAAATTTGACGGGGGGATAGCCACCGTGGTAGGTTCGTTAGTAGAGCGTCCGACCTGTTATTCGAAGGTCACAGGGCTCGGTCTCTGCTCACGGCAAGTGACCGTTGTGACCACTTGTCTTTCTTCACATTCACATTAATATTACTTCTAATAGCCTGCCATATACTTTGTTTGACAGGACTGTCTCTTAGATCGCATTACTGTGAAGGCTGGTGAATGAAGACAAAGACGAGAAGACGTCCTTGCTCAGGCACTACTATGTCGGCACGTCGCTGGTGTACGTAGGCCATGCCACGTAAAGCGGCGCCTGAAAAGCACCCTACTTCAATAGATTCATTACTACTAGATTTGAAGCTCTAGACGGCAGCGCGTGTATACAAGCACGATAAGTGTTCGTTCATAGCATGGGTCGTCCAAACTTGTGGAGCTCACTGAGACTCACTCATGGAATATATTTCGATCTTTGGACTCACTTGAAATCAGTATCTCGAAAATTTTCCTCAACCAGACTCCCTCGGACTCAAGCTCACCAGAGCACTATATACTCACCCATACTCACTCAGACTCTGACTCACAGCTCGATCTGGGTCTGATTGAGTAGACTTATGGGTCCGTTAGCCTAGAATTGATTTTCTTCAGCCATGTTGTGAGTGCTTTTAACACCAATATCTCAAGTAATCAGGTGCTTTTCCAAGGCGCTGTTTGGCATTGTATCTTCGTAAATAAGGTCTGAGTGCTTGCAACCCATAATGGTTATTTTTCGGGAAAGATAACAGCACAATATAGATTTATCAATAACGGTCCCTGGACGAGTTGGCAGGGCAAGTCCAGACAACACCGCCCCTCCCCCTACCTACGTACTTCACGTCTCTGATCAACAAATATTGAATTGAAATGGCGCATGAACGATATGGCTTTGGAATACCGGTCAGTGGACGAGAGTATAAACGTGAATTCAAATAAGGCGAATAGTAAGGTTGAAGGTGACTAGATAAGACCTCAAGTCAGTAAAATAAAGTGAAACTCACTCAGGCACGCTGGAAAAATGCACATAGTGTTTTCCTCTCATTCATATTCACACTAACAAAACTTTTCTGACCCGAATTCACTCAGACTCAGACTAACAAAAATATTACTCAACCTGCACTCACTGAGAATTAGACTCACAGCTCAATCTGAGTCTTAGTCCGAATGAGTCGACTCATGGGTGAGTTCACAGACCTATGACTGCAAGCGTGAAGCACGCAAGTACTGCCTTCAAAATCTCTGCGAACTTTTTGATGCAGGCGCAAATGTTTCCCTCCCGTGTACCTAGATTTAGGTGCATGTTAAAAAAACCCCGGAGGGCGAAATTTCCGGAACCCCCCTCTACGGCATCCGTCATAAATATATCGTGATTTTCGGATGTTGAATTCCATCCAGTATTGCTAAAAAGCTGTCTTGACGTAGAACGCTCAACATGGCTAGGTAAAAATGTCAGTGCCTATAACTTACATGTTATGTATAAAACGCTACTATTTATCACATATTAAAAGGGTAGGAGAGCGATGAGTACTTGCCTGTAACTCTCCCAGTATATATTGTTCTATAGCTTTCAAGAAACGCTACACATTTGCAGAAACAGCATGTTTGCCAGCTGTTAAACGACGTGAAGCCGTGTATTTTCAAATCACACATGTGCCACTTCCTTTGAGCATTGTTTGTGCATAGGCTGTAAGAACCGATAAATGCGAGCTCTACTGAGTCGCCGTCGCATGAACAATTCACATTGTCTGTTCAAAGTTGTCAAACAGTGCCCGTATATGAGTTTAATCAAAACTGTTTTGAAAAATGAGTCATTGTGCCATAACAAGCATTCACAACAGGTAGTAGTAGTAATATACTTTTATTTCAGCCACCAATTAAATGCTCAGCACTTTGACCACCTGCGCGACCTGTCGGTGTTGTTCTTCGTCTACTTCCGTGCCGATTCAGTCTAACCAGGAGATGACAAAAAGTGAGGAGGAGGATGGGGGAGGGGTAAAAGGTGGGTTTCTGAACACTTTGGCCATAGAAAAAATAGTGTGACAGGTTGCCAGGCGACTATGCCTTATATTACCGCAAACATTTATGCGAATGAGGGTCCGAGAATCTTCCAAGTCTGTCAACAACTTGCTAGTTTTCTCATGCTTCCTGAAATGGCGGTTGTTGTGCACGCTGGACCTCACTCAAATAAAATCAGCATGCGCGCTCTTCCAGATTGGGGCACGAAGAGGAGGACGAGCGGTTGAAGAGAAGAAAAGACATAGATTCTGCGGCCCAAATTGGGAGCCCGGCTCAGTGTCTCTAGGGGAATGAAGAGAGTGTATTAGAGATGTAGAGAATAAAGACGAGAAATGGTGTCCATGATCTGCAACGTAACGAGTAGCTTCTGTAGGCGACTTGCCGAGAAAGAATGAGTTGTTGCGCCGCCTGTACGTATCTACAGGAAACAGCCAACGGGGCCACCACTCTGCACGAGCAGTCCCGTGCGTTTGGCCGGCATGCATAAAACCTTGATTCTGCAATATGCTCACATCTAAATGAAACGCCTTTCACACCTATATACTTCTTTTGAATGGCGCAAGAACCACGTTCTCAAGTCTTTTTTAAAGACTATAGTCTTTCTTGGGGACCTTCGACTGGAAAAAATTGGATCTGTCTGTCTGTCTGTCTGTCTGTCTGTCTGTCTGTCTGTCTGTCTGTCTGTCTGTCTGTCTGTCTGTCTGTCTGTCTGTCTGTCTGTCTGTCTGTCTGTCTGTCTGTTTGTCCACCCTAACGATACCTCAAACGGCATCAAACGGCCAACCCCATCCGCAGCGCCCACCAATATTGCTCAAGGTTTAGCGTTCATAGTTGTGCGATTGTCAATTAAAAAGGAATTATTGTGCATATCTGAGGCGCCACAACAACGCTTCCGTGTTTTCTATGTCTGTCACTATACTAGAAGAGGCACATACAAGTAACTCTAAGGAATGTAGCGTTTAATCGCACTGCGCTGACAGTGCAACGCGGTGCTCAACAGGGGGTTTCCAACGCTTTGCTACGACGTCACGGTGGTGGCACCTGCCGGTCGCTTTGCATTCTACACCTGAGACTCTACCTCTCTAACATTCTACCTCTGAGACTGGCGTGCACCTTTCTCTACGGGCTGCACGCCTTCGTTTTCGAAGATAACTGCCAGATAGCGCTTATGTCTAACGTGCCTCGATGCGCGTTCGCCTCCGCTGCACGCTCGAGGCACTCTAGCGCAGCGCCTGCAGAATACCATTCACCGATTTTCTCGCGCAGAGCATCGAATAAACGTTTTGTACACTCTCTCCAGATGCATGACTATCGTTTTCCGACGACATTTGCGGTGTAATAAGCAGATTTGGAACCATTTTTTATTTGCTTTTATAGCTGATTGTGGCTCATCCCAGCGTTGCTTGAACGTCTAGAGACCTTTTACCATGTTTCTGGTATTTGTGTGACTCGTCTATAGCCGGTTGTACAGTCCAGTGTCTATAAGGAAGCGAATATTCACCTTGAGGACATGAGGTGTGGTGTCGTGTATGAAACAGGAAGGTCCCTCTATGTAGCCGGAGGGTAGCCCTTGGTGAATGAGCCCGGAGAACAAAGCTGTGAGTTGATTGAAGCTGGGCATACCTATACGCATTGGGGCAACAACAATTATGAATATAGTGATAAAAAGTGGCCGCAAGAGTTTACATTTCGAGATAATAGGTCGGCTGATATCCGTTATTTATAGCAGCTCCACAAGCAACATTGTTGAACTAATATTGCCTGTAAAAAAGTGTTGTCCTAAATATGCACTTCAGATCAGAAGTGAAGCCGACCTTAACGAGGCCCTGCAACACTTCTTGAGAATGGCCAGAAAACACTGCCGATCGGTAGTTAATGCCCGGAGAACACGCGAGCCAAATAATATAGCTCAGTATGCGGACTGGAATTTACACTGAGTTCTCCAAGTTAGCTAAAAATCCGTTTCTTTTCTCTCGACGAATGACACTTCAGACTCAAAAGTCACTGTGTACAATGTCAAGTGTCAGCCATTGGCTGATTTGAACACGGCACACTCGGTCATTACTACAGGGCTGTCGTGGAAGGCCGTAACTTGTCCACGCGCGCGCACGATCAGTACTGGAAGGCGCGCATTTGAAAAAAAAAAATGAGAAAACGTGCTTAAGGTCATGAGGCATGCGTGACGTATATTTTGTTCTCATGTGTCATCCCTCTCTGCTAGCTTCCAACGCTTTCGTCGGGACAATAGAAACAGCGTTTGACAAATGTCTGTAGTTACGCACGTACTGGACGAGTTGTAAAATTATTGCGGCGATGAATTCCTGAGAGAATAGGCTACTTTGGTGAACCCATTCCATAGCTAATTGAAAAAGTGTTGTCGGGTCCCTTTGAGGTATCGGCAGATTATTTCTCTTTATAAGCTGCACAATTGCCGATAAATCGGGCTAGTTTGTTCTGAAAAATGCTGGCCTTCCGCTTCTTATTGTCTCGTTTCCGTTTCCCCATTCATAGCTTCATGAAAGCCGTATACGGCGGGGGGGGGGGGGAGCTGTTACCAGCAAGCGGTGATCTTTCCATTAGCGTTGTAATTATACCCCAGCTCGAGTAGAATATCCCTTTGTTAGTTCTGTCTAGATCAAAGAAGTAGCGTCAAAATCATTTTATTGCGATAGCAATGATATGGACACTCTCGGCCTGGATTTCACCGCCAGCGTCGGCATGGGCGTCGGCGTCGATGTCATGCACAGTATATGTAAGCGTATCTATATAAATGAAAACGCAAGAAAGAAAAAAAAAACCAGAAAAGAGACTCCGGCGCGCAGAATCAAACGTGGGTCCTCCAGCCCCGAGAATGCGAGGCTTTAAACACTGAGCCACCAAAATTACCTCTTCCAACGTTCAAACGGCAAGCTATTTACATCGACCACTCACCGCTGCTGCCGGGCATATCGGGGAGGGGGGACTACCGTGTTTTCAGCATTATCAGCAAGATGGCACAGTGAGCGCACGGCGGCTCTCATCTCTCACGCATACTTTGGCCCGCGTAGCGAATAAGGGGGTGTACGCTTGATCGCGCACCCTTATCTTGCAGTGGGTAGAATCGTATATCTTGGCTAGCCTTTGAGTTTTGTTGGAACGATTCTTTTGTAGTTACCAGGCGCACAAAGGTCACTGCAATAGTTGTTTGCGCAGCCTCCGTTTGCGAAAATGGCGTGCTTTTCAGACACAGCGAAGTAACAACTGAGACTCCTATTAGCGTTAATCTGTTCCTGCAATTACGTTTCGTGTGTCATTTGTGCGCGAGAAATGCGGGACACGTTTAAATCTGCTTGTCTTTCATGGCGCGGGGCGTGACCTTTTACTTTGTTGCCATCGCGTTCATTGTTTCCCTTTGGCGGCAAAGCTGTGACTTTTTTTAAGGCGACACTTTTTAAAAGCCTCTGTAAGAGTGCTTTGAGAGAAGCGTCACGTTAGATTGATTATCAGCGTTTTCATCCTCTTCCCCATTGTCTATGTGCTCGTGGTAAATCTCGTGGCAACACTTTCACATATTCAACTGATTGGGTACTAGAGGAATCGCGGAGGCTGCTGTTTCGCAATGCCGATTACCGCCTTCTTCGAGACTTAGCACCACGTTTCATAGAAAGAACACCAGATAGTCAAAACTTCCGCGACCTTCCACTAAGGCGTCTTTCAATTAAACACACCCCGCCGCGGTGGTCTAGTGGCCAAGGTACTCGGCTGCTGACCCGCAGGCCGCGGGACCGAATCCAGGCTGCGGCGGCTGCAATTCCGATGGAGGCGGAAATGCTGTAGGCCTATATGCTCAGATTTGGGTGCACGTCAAAGAACCCCAGGTGGTCGAAATTTTCGGAACCCTTCACTACGGCATCTCTCATAATCATATGGTGGTTTTGGGACGTTAAACCCCGCATATCAATCAATCAATTCTATTAAACTGATTTTGGAAGGTAAAAACCCATATACTATTAGCATATACAGCGCCGGCAAGGTTAATCCAACTAGTAGCGAAGCTTTCATACGAACCCCTAGGTTTGAAAAATGGCCAATACTCAACTACTGGTGGAGTTTAGCGATATATATATATATGGGCTGAGCGAACACTTCCAGTAGACCGAAAAATAAAATGGACGATGGATTGTCCAGTGAAAACGAGTGGCCATATTTTCTCTTCAGTAACTTGGGAGGTTCCGGGTATCGTGCGAATTAGCCTCCTCGTTCCCTCTAAATCCGTCCTTGGTTAGCTGGTGGCCAGAGGAGCAGACTAATCTTTCTGGGCCCTCCTAGCGTATTTATTATACACGCGGCACTCTCCGCCACCGTTCCCTATTCATAAATTCTCACGGCCTTTTTGGAGTCACTGATAACCACCCTGACGCCCTGTTGTGCACGGAATATACACACTCATAGACACTCATAGAACTCTCATAGACACTAGCTCGAGAGTTCCCTCCAGTGTATTTTTTAGGAAACTTCATGGGGAAGCAGCCCAACTACCTAATCAGCCAATACAGTTAACTGAATCGGGAAGGAACCACCAACGTGTTCATACCTGGCTCCCGTCTACCCTTGGTGTTCGTGTCGCCGAAGCGGTGCACTGCATTTTCAACAGTGCTGAGCAGTTGTGTAACCAGAGTGCTCACCGGGCGCCCTGTCACGCCCCTTACCTCCCACTGTTAGATTTTGCTTTTTTTTTACCAAGACACACGGAGAAAAAATGACCCTCAACTATAACTGCCTGCCCAGCCCGCACTTAAGATCAAGAAGGTGCCGTGCCCCACAACCCGAGAAAAAAAGAATGACCTGTCATGTTATGTGGTGTATGTCTTACTGCAAATAACTGTCTGTGTAATGTCTACATATTCCACACGAAATCCAGTTGTTTGCGATCGAAAGCTGGTCTTTATTTTTGAGAAGAGGAAACAGCAACGTCGAGGCAGTCAATATACCTTACACTCCCTTCTACGCTGACAGCAGCTACACCAGCTGGGAGAGCTCTGCTCGACGGATAAAATGAAGGAAAGCGATGAGAAGGTTGTTTACTGTATGGCACACATGGACTGCTCCGTATGCGTAATAGTCATACAAATGTCCCCTCTGTAGACAAATTTGTACCCATGGTAATGTCTGCAGTATTTTTCAAATGCACGCCTGCAGGGAACTCGGTCCTGCTCGGCAGCCCCTGCTATCCTCCAAAGTAGGCACGCCGAATTTCCTGGAACAAGGCAATGGAGTCAGAAAATAAGAAACGGGCAACAAAGAGACCACTTCCGGATATATAAATTATAAATATACACTTGTGAAGCAAGCAGAGCGGGATGGCACTGAACCGTTCAGCAGGAAACACTTCCTTGTTTTTGTCCATGTCTTGAAACATCGGCAAAGCGCTGACGCTTTGCATCAACTTGCGTCCGACTTTCGGCTCGCTTCCTACTCTTATCACGTTGTTAATTCACACTTATCAACAAAAAAATTGTAGTTTGTTCTTAAGACTTGAGGAAACAGCTGAATTCCCAACAAAAATTTTTTTTACCACACGTATCAATTTTTTTCAAATTTTACATGATATGCCAGTAAGTATTCATGTTGTTTGCCTTGGAATATTCATGACTTCAATTCGAACCTGGCTATAGTTACATATCTGAGATTACCGTACTTACAAGCAGAAAGATGGTGGTCTTCTAAACAAGCTGGTATACTATGTCATGACCTCGTTCGTAAAGTAGAAAAGTGTCAGAGTGCTGCAGGCACTTCTGTGAGTTGAGTTTTCTGCGGTGATATCACTATGAAATACAATTGTCTGCAATCATTTTCATTGTATCTAACAATGAAAAGAAGCCCGTAAACATACATTTTCTTCGTTCAATGCTTTCATTCATAACACCGACAGAGACTACAGTGCCAGCAGCAACTTCAACAAAAGTTTTGAGCCATGGCGTTGAAGGGGAGCTGCACTGTCCTATTGAGGAAATAATCTTACCTAATTTCACCAAACAGGAACTAAATGAACGTGGGCATAAATAACGAAATAAAGCAATAATTACCTGCTTCTCTGCGATCAGCCCTATATCTCACAGTAGAGGGGTCCACTGAAAAAAAATATTTGTATTGTCAAAACTTGCTTTAACCTACTTATGTCATTTGCGGAAATGACAAAACTGAAATGTACTAAAACATTAAAATAAAGAAAAACGATTGAGTGCCGTTTTACTGAAACAAACTTTATAGAAGAAACTTCTTTACAGGAAACATATATGGGCTTATTATTCACTTCAGCGCACGTTTAAGCCTTCAAACTATGACTACGTTATACCTTACACCCCGTAGTTTCTCTCAACGAGTCTAAAACAACAATAATAGAGCTTTTACTTGGAAGTAAGAACAATACAAATGTCAGTACTTAGGAAAAAGATTCGCACTTTCATATTTTTTTTCAGCGAATCCGCAGTTTCGGGACAATAAAAAAATCACAGATTTGCCGCTAATGCGAAGCAATGAACGCGATACACACAGTTTGAAAGGTCACGAGCAGAATGGAAAGCAGATCAAAACGTGCCCAGCGTTTCTCGTGCACAAATACGCATAAAACGTACTCACAGATACGAATGCACGCGAATAAGCGTCTCATTTGTTACTTCGCTGAGTCTGAAAAGCGCGTGCTTTTCTCGAACGGGGACTACAATGATTGCAGTGGTTTTTGTGCACCCGGTAACTACAGCAGAATCGTTCCACGTAAAGCCAGATGCCAGTAAAGGCGTGCGGTCTTCCCCTCCTCACCACCGCAAGATAAGGGTGCGCGAGGGAGCGCCACTTCCCTTCTCTAAGCCGCGCAAAGTACTCGTAGGAAATTAAAGTGGGCGCCGCTGCAAGATGAGACGACGTGCGCTCATTGCGCCATTTTTCTGGTAATGCCTAAAACACAACAGCGCTAAGTGGTAGATATAAATAGCTTGCCGTTTTAACGGTAAAGAACGTTTTCCTGGGTGGCTCAGTGGTTGAAGCCTTGCTTTCACGACGCAGAGGTCTCACGTTTGATTCCGCGTGCCGTAGGGGTATTTTCAAGATTTTTTTTTGCGTTTTCATATTTATAAATACGTATACATATACGGTGCGTGACGTTGACGCCGACGTCGAAGCCGGCAGCAAAATCCAGCCGAGAATGTCCATATAATTGCTATCGCAATAAAACGTCATCAATGAACTATTTCACTTGAGCAATCGCTTTGTCATTGGGACATCAGCGCCTTATGTTCGGATGTTTTATGTTCTTAATTCTGCGGAACGTAAACAGCTCGAAGGCTTATGAACCTCTCCCACCCCCCTTTTTTTTTCTCGCAAACTTCGTCATGGAACACGTCCTACAGTCGTTCGTGGCAGAGAGATTCTTTCAGTCGCGCGTGGCAGAGAGATTTTAGGAGATGAGCGTGAAGTTCCTTATTTCTCAGGAGCCCTCCTTCTACAAAGAGGCCTGCGCTCGCTCTTTTCCGAGCTGCCGTCGTCTATTGTTTGGCGTCACACAACACATAGCACGCGATTGGCTAAGAGCGTACACATAAGCAAAGACCCGACTTAGGATGAGACGTGCTTCTTGCCATGGGGTGTCGCCTGGTGCCGGCGCCTGCACTCCGTGGTCTGTTAGCATTACCGGGGAGGAAAAAAAAACCTAGGAGAGAGTGCCTCGTGGCAATCTTGAAGACCAGCCATAAAAAAATAATAAAGTAGGAGCATGCTGAGAGTTATTACCAGAGCAGAGAGTACGATGAGAGAGCGGCGTGGGGGGGGGTTGGCTGTAGAAGCCAGGTGTGTGTGTTGGCCCATATATGCTTTTCACTGCCATGAGCCTTGTCCAACTAATATATGAAACAGGAGCATGACGAAAATTGCGTCAAGGATGCTAGAACCTTCGGAGGAAGTCGGCTTCTGGACGCTAGGCGCACTCGCTCTCGTCAAGCTTTTCGCTCCATGAACATTACACAGTATTCTCATGAGCATGCACGGGAATCACAACGTCAGAGAGCGACCACGTTTTATCACGGATGCTCAAAGTTATGGGGCCCTGGACGTAACTTATTTCCTCCAGGTCATCTCTCCCTGCTTAGCTTCCAGTGAGCTCGTCGGAACGACAGAAGAGTGAACGCTTAATGCGCGTGACAATACCACTCGTTCTCGACTGTTTCGAGAAATTTTTGGCGGGAATCAATTCGTGAGGCGATAAACTGTGGTACTAACTGTAAGACTATTTCTTAGAAAAGTGGTTGATGCTTAGTTCATCATTACCCAGAGGAACAGAAATGTGAAAGCTACCAAAACAGTGCCTATGAAAGCTGGCATCGCGGAAAAGGTTTTCTCGCGCATATGCTTTTTTTTTTCATCTGAAGCGCATATTTTAGGTTACAAAATAAACATGACAATAGTTGAGTGATATGTGGGGTTTGACTTCCCAAAACCACGACATGATGATGAGAGACGCCGTAGTGGAGGGCTCCGGAAATTTTGTCCTCCTGGGGTTCTCTGTATACCCCTATCTCTCTGCATACGCTTTCTCTCCTTCCATCTATACTGTCTTTTTATCTTTGTTTTTTACCTCTTTCTCAGTAGGCTTGTCCTCACCCATCACAGTTATCGCATTCTTCGCCAGACAAGCAGGTGCAGCAGAAGACGGAGAGAATGAAGAAAGCGCGTGCTGCACGGTACTTCCTTGGATAGCGAACTAAGACAGGGATAAAGACGGGGCAGACGACACGCTTATATGTGGTGTTTAACGTCCCAAAACGAACATATGATTATGAGAGATGCCGTAGAAGGGGGCTCCGGATATTTCGGCCACCTGCGGTTCTTTAACGTGTGCCCAAATCTGAGCACACTGGCCTACAGCATTTCCGCCTCCTTCGGAAATGCAGCCGCCGCAGCCATGATTATTAAACATAATAAACATCATTTCGCAATGTTATGAATGATTAGATAAGAAAACAGTGCTTAAAAGCGGACCAGGACGAGTGAAGACATGACCCAGGCGCTGAAATCGAAACTAAAATGTATTCCACTCTAGATAACAAAAAAAAAGTGTGTAAGTATTGTATCGTGAAATAAACAGAGTTTGAGTTGTTGGAGCTTGCGTCATCTTCTCACTTGTCGTCATCAATTTTTCGGCGCTGTTTTTCCCAAGTAATGATGAACCACCAAGTAGCTCAAATTTCTGTTCAATACTGCATTAATAGGAAAAATAGTGAGTAGTCTGTACACTGACATTTGTGATCTCACCTACTGGTGTACCCATGACGAAGCAAACTTCGCTGGCAAAGAATATGTCATATCGTCCAGATACCTTGGGATCAGTCTCATTACGACCTGAAGCAGTACAAGTGTCACTTTGGGTATTGCTTGAAATTGCACGAATCACATATTAGTTATCAAACAGTATTCTATGTCCAAGATCTCAAACTGCAATCTTAAGTAGAACAACGGACTATTATGCTAACTATAGGGGATGTTATCAGAAGCAATTATAATGAAAATGCTAAGAAAGTCGAGGAAAACAAAACTTGCCACCAGCAGGTGCCGAACCCAAGACCTTGTAATTAATCGTCTGGCGTTCTACTACTGAGCTCTCGCAGCGGTCATTCCTCCGTCCACTTTAGAGGTTATATATACGCATTAAACATGGGAGCGCCAGTCAACGCTGCCAGTAGCCTTTACGGTGAGTGTGGAAGTCTTTTAGGAGCGAAGCTCCTTATAGCGGCACCCGTTCGTCCCCCGTAGTATGTAAGAAGTATAACATTTTGACCTCCAAGGTGGTGCCGGCGAGAGACTTCTTCTGTGCGTTGTTGAACAATAAAAAAATAGTGCTAAATGTACCTGTCAATGGCTGCTAATGGGGAATGAGAGACAGGAGCATTCAGCTTTTAGTTAACGCGCAAGCTGCGATCACCATTAGCAGCCATTGGCACGTACATTGAGCACTATCTGACAAGAAAGGGTTGCTACGTTATACGCGCTGGGTGTGACCTCCTTAGCTTCAGAAAGGTTTAGCGAGCGTTGAGCCGCAGTGCCATGAATACAATGAACTAGTATATACTATGAATGAACTCGAGGTGAGTGAGTGAGTGAGTGAAACAACTTTATTTGGTCCACAATAGACGCGAGTAAACTCAGCGTCACCTGGCTAGGCCCACTCGGGGACCATCAGGTTAAACCTGACGGCCCTCGCGCGGGCCCTCTGGACGGCCAGGATTTGAGAGGTCTGGTCCTGGGCCTTGATGAGTCGCTTCATTTCCTCTTGGGTGAAAGGGGGACCGGCAGAGGCGCAGCCCCACAGTACATGTTCGAAGTCCGCATAACCACCACACAGGGGGCAGTCCGGGCTTGGAAATGAACTCGAGGTGGTTAAAAATGGGAAGTAGATACGAAGCGCAAGCCGTAAGAAAGTAAAAGCCGAATTCTCCGCCTCTCATTTCCCATTAGCAGCCATTGGCATGTACATTGAGCACTATCCGACTGAAAAAGTTTGCTACGTCATACTCGCTGGGCGTAACATCCTTGGTTTTCGAAAGGTTTAGCGAGCGTTCGGCCGCAGTGCCACGAATACAGTGATCTAGTATATATCATGAACTCGAGGTGATCAAAGGTGAGAAGTAGAAGCGCAACGTGAGAAAGTGTGCGTGTGCCACCTCTCGTTTAGTCCTTGGAATGTCCGCTGGATGGCGGTGCTTCTATATGGGGAATATATGATGAAAAGATGCGAGATGGTGGTACTTGGAGTGTTGAATAGATGGACGAACGGACACACAGACAGATGCATCAATGAACGCATGAACGGGCGCAGGGGTGGCTGCGTGGACGAACGCAGGGACGGACGCACGAACAGACGCACGCACGGACGGGCTGATGGACGCATGGACGGTCACACTGACGGACGCATGGACGGAGGAAGAAAGAACGAATGGACGGACGAATTCTTCGCCCCACTCGCCATCATTCACTCCGTGGATATGCTGCCATTTTTTTTGCTTTTTACTGTCCAGTAGCAATGGTCTTATTACAAGCTGGCAGCTGAGCCATAATCCTCAGCTGCCAGCTCGTGATAAGACTGCACGCTACGAAAGGCTAACAGGCAAGAAAGAGAGTTCCACAGTCACCGCATGACTACTTTTGGCACTGCAAACGCTCTTACGCGTAATGCACGGGTTCGGTCTCTGCAGGCGGCACGCTATGTTTTTAGTTCAGTTTTATCTGATTGATTGATTGATTGATATGTGTGGTTTAACGTCCCAGACGTCCCAAAACCACCATATGATTATGAGAGACGCCGTAGTGGAGGGCTCCGGAAATTTTGACCACCTGGGGTTCTTCAACGTGCACCCAAAGCTGAGCACACGGGCCTACAGCATTTCCGCCTCCATTGAAAATGCAGCCGCCACAGCCGGGATTTGATCCCGTGGCCTGCGGGTCGGCAGCCAAGTACCTTAGCCACTATACCACTGTGGTGGGGCGTCCACATTTATCTCTTCACATTTACGTTACAATTACTTCTAAAACCATCCCCATGCCTTCCTTGACATCATTGTCTGTTAGGTATTATTAGTTTGTGTAACAAAAAAAACGAGCCCTCACATTTACATTTCTTCCCTACAAAGCAGTTTAGCATTTCAGACGTTCTCAAAGGGGCAAAACTATAAGCCCCCTCACAGCAAAGGAGCCTTTCACGAATAAAATTACATTTTTTGTCAACACACATCTCATGATTATCATGTTTGCACTAGTCACATACATTTGTCATCCATTTACGTACTGTTATACCAAATTCCTGTATGTGACGATCGCGAAACGGCGTACCATACACTTTCAAAAATCGCGTCTGTTTACGGACAGAACAGCGGACGTAGAGTCTAGTAAGTATTACACTCCACCCCTTTGTGAACATCAAGGATACACCACACATTTAGGAACCACAGACTTCACCACTTCGCGAATATCATGGATACAGCACACGTTTACCGATGATGTTTCGCTGAATAATGCAAAAAACAAGTATCTCCTCCATCAAAAAAAATTAAGTGAAAGTAATTATTTGCAATACGAATGACCTCCAGAAATTTATACTAATATGGCCATCGCATACCATCACCGCATCCATCGCCACGACTTGTTCTGCATAGCTTTTGTTCTACGAAACTGTATTTGTTCCCAAATGGTGTTTTAGACGGGCATCGCAGAAAGATAAACCATTCGACTATGGCGGGCGCAACGGCATCGTCACCCATCTGTCGGCAGTCACTACTCTAGTTACTAGCTTCACTACTCTCCTCAATGGCTAAGACGCACACAAGGAACGGGACCCCAGTTGGCGCTGCTTTTTAAAGGCGATAGGGACCTTCGACGCAAAAATGTTGGTCCGTCTGTCTGTCTGTACATTTGTCTGTTTGTCCACCCTTAACGATACTGGGCACATCAAACGGCATCAGATGATATCCCAAATGGCTGACACCATACGCAGCACCACCAATATTGCTCAGGCTTTAGCATTCATACTTGTGTGATTGTCAATTAAAAATCAATTATTGCGCATATCTGAGGCAAGATAACAACACGTATATATTCTGTATGTACGGCTTTTACTGGAAGAGGCATTCGTAAGTAATTCTAAGGACCGTAGCGTATATCACGCTGCGCTGACCATGGAATGCTTGAACGAAAAGGCAAGTGTTTCTAACGCTTTGCTAAAGCGACACGGTGGTGGCACCTACCCGTCACCTTGTGTTCCACGCCTTATCACCTCTGAGACGGGCGTGCGTGACCGCCACAGAGCCACACGCTTGGTTTTTCAAAATAATTGCCAGATGGCGCTCATGTCTCATGTGTGATGTGACTTGATGCGCTCCTTCGCCTCCGCTGCATGCTCGAGGCACTATAACGCAGTGCCTCCAGAATGCCATTCACCGATTTTCTAGCGCAGAACATAAAATAAATGTGTTGTTCACTCTCTCCATGTGCAAGACTATCGTATTTCTACGACATTTGCAGAGTAATATGCAAATTTGGGGCAAACTTTTCATCCGCTCTGCATCTTGGAGGAGAGTGCCTTTAAGCTCGTGTCACGAATGATCTGTTTCGTGTAGTAACTGCGCAAACTTGGGGGACCCTTAACTTTGCCTTTATGAGCTGAACGCGATAGCGAAATTCGGCCCCTAGTGCACCCTTCAATCGCTATGTGCATACTTATTCATATGTTTTGTTACATGCACACGCACGCAAGTGGTAACTCCTGATAATACGGGCAAGCAAACTACCAATCGGAGCCCGCGGTGGCACTCTCGTGTCTAACTTGCATCGTAAAATGAGGAAAAGAGGAAAAGAAAGTTCGTTTCCTCATGCGAGGGGTCAAACAGGAGCTCTTCGCGGGACTAATGAGGAATCCACCGAACACCGTCCAAGAATTTGTATCCGAGGCGACCACCATCGAAAAAACGCTGGACATGCGCACCAGACAGTATAATCGTCGCCTGACTCCAGAATGCGCTGCTGCTCAAGCCAGTGACTTCGACGACCTGCGTGAAACGATCCGAGCGATCGTGCGGGAAGAGCTGCGCAAACTGTTGCCTTCGGTGCAGCCTCAAGTGGATTCGATCGCCGACATTGTGCGAGAAGAAGTCCGGCAATCACTTCAAATTCCCGAAACACCGTCGCCCAAGCCAGAAACTATGAGCTACGCCGCTGCAGTGCGCCACAACGCTCCTCCCCGTCCACGCCAAAACGCCACCCCGTCGCACTTCCGTCGCCAGACGCCACCGCCGCCACCAACCCCAACGACGTCCTACCGTTCCATGCCTTTTTTTCAGAGGGGGGCAATGCCACGTTCCATTTCCCAAGTTTTCGTTATGGTCCCAAAACACCACACGATTCTCAGCGCAAACCGCGCCTGCAGTTTTCCAGAAGGTTCCGGACTGTAGTAGATCATTTCGATAAGATCACGCCCACTGTGCGAACGGTACAGATTGTTCTGGAACCTACGCCACCGCCAGCGATAACGCAAGAACACTCGATGGCAAGAGTATAAATGCCGACGCGCTTCGCCACTTGTCAGTAGTTGTTGATCGAAGGCCGACGCTGCGTTCGCCGCTATCAGTCCGAGACTGCTATCTGTGCAAGACTGCTGCTGTAATTAGACTTTTCCTTTAACGCGCACAGGTTCGCCCAAATAAACAGTTAAATCCCAACAAGAAGTTTCCTGTCTTCGGCCACGTCACGACCCCGTGACAATACGGGCAAGCAAACTACCAATCGGAGCCCGCGGTGGCACTCTCGTGTCTAACTTGCATCGTAAAATCGCGACTAAGAACCAGTGCAGTCAT